AGAGGCTGCTTGGGCGCGCGAGAGGAATGATGCCGCCGTGGCTGAGGGGCCGTGGAGCCGTTTGACCGCCCCCACGCCCCGGCGCGCCGGTGCCCGGTGTGCCCCGTCGGTGGCGCGGGGGTGCCCCATCGGTTGCGTGGGGTACCCCGTCGGTGGCGCGGGTGTCCCGATAGTGACTCCGGGTATTCTGCCCTGGTGTATCGATGGTAGCATGTGAGATCGATACTGAGATCGATAGTGAGATCGATTGCGTGATCAATCGCGATCGTGAGACCGATCGTGAGATCGAGAGATCGATAGTGAGATCGACAGTGAGATCGATCGCACACTCTCATCGCCATCACAGTCATCGCAGTTGTTGCCAGTGGCTATCCTTTCACACCCGAACCTCCTTATCACCCGAAGGGTGATCGTATAGGTAACGTATGTGTCACTCACAGATGGCGTGATGGACACGAACCAAAAGACACCTGTTGGTTGCGACAGCTGAGTAGAAAACGACCACATATGTTTCGGGCAATAACAGCGTTCGACTGCCGAGGAAGCTGCATGGTATCAAAGGCGCGCAAAAATGAACATTCGACGGCGGCGCTGGCACAGGCGAGCGTTGTGGAACGAAGGGGTTTCTGGCCCGCGAAGCCCAACATCTTGCCGAACTCGGCACGTTTCTCCCAAAACGCTGGCTCAACCATCGGGAAGGCGATGCAGCGCGACCGCCATGCTCTCCAACGCCCATGTGCCCTTGTCAAGCATGGCGCAACTTTCAACGGCAGCGCTTGGTAAAGCATAGGTCCTAGGTCATACAAGCTGGCAATTTTCTCTTGCGGTCTTTTGTCTTGCATCCCCGTTCTGCCGAGCCCAAGACATGTCCGCCCGAAATTGAAAGCGGGTGTCCGTGTCTGCCGAACTGGATCAGCAGGGTTGGTGACCGGTGATGCGCAGAGGTCTCAGGCCGCCGAAATGGGGACGGGGCAGATGGTGTCAAGGAATTGAGCCCTCTTCACCGATGCCTCGGCGATGCGGCTCGATCTGGAGCCCGATTGTCTCCACTCCGACGTCGCCGACGCATCACATCACCGATTATCAGCGATGCGGCGCGATGTGGCACCGATTGAGCGTCCTGCAGAGAGAAACAACAGACCGCAAGAGAAAATTGGAAACCAACTGGGCCATCGGCGAGTGCAATCCCAGCTCATGCTCGTGCCTCATTTGCCCGCTACTTTTTCTGCGCATTCGTAGACTCAGACCCCCCCCCTCCCAGTGGCAAGCATTCCTGGTTCCTGGGTGGCATTGCCACATAATTTCCGTTCAGGAAAAGCTGGCACCCATAAAGGACAAGACAATGCGAAAGTCCTTCCCAAACGGACGACGACGCCTCCATCGTCCTGGATGGCCTCCAGCAAGCTCCGAGACGGCCTCAAAACCAGCTCCAGGCCGCCCCCCGAAAGGTAAAGGTCTGGGGACCGTGGAAATGACTGCATAGAGGCGGCTACCAAGAGTTGGCTGTAAACACAACGATGGCGTCTCGTAACCACAAGCCAGAACCCCCTTGACCCGTGACACTGCATAACAAGCAGATCGCAGACGCGTACGTGCTCGCTACCTTATGCACCTTCGCTTCAGGATGGGCAGGAGGCGACTGGAAAATGGAAAGGAGGCGACGAGTCAAAGATGAGGCATGGATGTGCAAAAGTCCTGGGGCCACGAAGCCATGGTCTCGCTTCCCGGTGGCCAAGGGGCAACAGGACAGTGGGACCTTTAAGGCTTTGGCCGTGGGTCCATGTGGCCCCATGGCCTCATGGCTGTGGTTGCAATAATGCGGCCGCTTGGCGAGTAAGTGAGGACTGTTCTGGACGAGGCAAGCAGCAGTTCAAGCGATGCCTCAAGCTATGGCCAACGCTTCCTAACAGCTATGCGCGACTGCTGGTCCAGACGACCAAAGAGCGCTGAACCTCATGACGAAGGCCCTCAGGCCCAATACGTCACATGAAAAAGTATTCCGCCCCAACGCTTAATCCCAAAAAACCGAGTCGGCGCTGTGACCGTAACGCCGCGCGATAATCACAGAGACCACAACAGAGACCTCCATGGGGACCACTTCGGGGACCACCGCAGGGACCTCGAACGCTACTACAAGAACCAACACATGCTATCACATTGACCACTACATGGACTAGTGCATGGAGCAGTGATAACGATGGCCGTGACAAAATCTGTTCTACGCATAAGACATTGCAGCACAGCGAAGTAAGCGGCGATGCTTACGATTATGCTCGAATGGCGGCTCATATACATGTGAGTGTAAGAAGAGCTGTCAGATTCTTGAGGGTCCAGACCACAAGTGCTGCTGACCAGCCCAGCGCTCTTGAGCGCCTGTGGCGCTTGCCGCGGGCCTCCTCGAAACGAAACGAGCCCAAACAGCCTGCAACATCCACAATGAACCTTACCAATAAAACTCACAAAACCTTAGAACCTGTCGGTAGCCGGTAGACCCAAGGGACCTTCTGTCGGGGGCCTGGCCGTCTTGGAGGCACTCGGGGTCAGCCTAAGAGGCCAAATCATTGAAAAAGCATATTCCTTTTATTCACATACTTGGCTTAGTGATCTCCAGAGCGTCCAAAACAGCTCACGAGGCCCCAAGCGACTCACCGAAGAGGGCACAGAGGGGTCGAACTGCAATCCAGAGCCCTCCACCCCAAGATGGCCCCCGAGACAGCCGATAGGCCGCCAAGAGGAAGAGGCCCCCTAAGACCCCCCCCCAGAGGCCCCCAAGAGACTTCATAGAGGCCCTCAACACGCTCCCAAGAGGCCTCCAAGAGGCCCCAAGAGACAGCCAAGAGGCCCCCTGGACGGCCCCCCGAGGCCCCAAAGAGGCCTCCAAGAGGCTCGTCTTGTTTACGTACAGGCACGGTGGCGGGATACGCCGAAGGGCGCTAGTCTGCCGCCATTCATGCTTTACGTGCCCAACTTTGGGGCTACATTTGGTTCCACAGGTTCCTACTGGGTCTCGGCTCATCCAGCGGGCCGCCTGGAAAGACCCGGGCAAACCACAAATGGCCCCAAAGGACCTTCCTCAGTATCCCCGACGCCCCAGATGTTATCCAAGACGGCTCTACACTGTTCAAGACGGCCTCCAAAATGGTCCAAGAGGCCCCCGAAGACAACAAGCATGGCATCCGAGTTGGACACGATGACTCTAAGACGGCCCGATATGACATCAAGATGGCCCAGGACCGAATCAACGAGGCTCAAGAGAACTTCAAGACGCCTCAGAAATGCTCCGGAAGGGTGTCCAGGAGGCACTCAGTGCCACCGCGAGGCAGCCCACGAGGCCCCAAAGAGAGCTCCAGCACTGCTCAAGAGGCCCTCAAGACGGCCTGAAGCGTCCCAAGAGGGACTCAAGACGGCCCAGTGAGCTCAAAAGACGGGCTCCGAACGCCAGGAGCTCGCGTAGGAGCCCCGTAGAGGACCCAGGAGGCACCCAAGAATTCGAAATCCCCCAATATTTCTCCAATGCAGCCCAAGCATGCCAAACACGCCTTTGACACGCCCCACGAAGACTACCAGAGAGCCGTAAAGAATCCCAAGCGCCCTCAAGGCGGGCGTGGAATTTCAAGAACGCTGAGAAGGTGACCTCACCAAAGATCTAAAGGCACAAGATAAACCTCGAGGGCCGTCAGACAGCCAAACAGTTAGCCTGGCGTAGGACCCAATCCAAAGCAGCTGCGAGTAGCGCAGGGTATGGCTTCCCCCATCATAGACAATGCGCAGCGAAAGGGAAGAGGTTCCCTGTGTGGCCGCGAATCGCTTGAAGGGTGCGCCGAAGTGGACGGGGGGACCGCATGCGATAATTACCTTGCCACTGAGGCCTTCGGTGGAGCTTCTTGCGGTGACACGAAACGCGTTAGGAGTGTGACGATTTTGGCGGGGGGGGGCATGCGATACCTTGTCACTGAGGCCTTCGGTGGAGCTTCCTGTGAGGCCGCGAGTTGCGTGAGCGGTATGCCGACATGGACGGGGGGACCCCATGCGATACCTTGAAACTGAGGCCTTCGGTGGAGCCGGGACCAACATCACGTGTTAGGGGTGTGCCGAAATTGGCGGCGGGGACCGCATGCGGCACCTTGCCACGGAGGCCTCTGGTGTAGCTCCCTGTGAGGCTACGGAACGAGTGAGGGGTGTGCCGGAATGGGCGAGACGCTATGCGGCACCACCTCCTGGGGCCTTCGGTGTAACTCCCGATGGGGCCACGAAACGCATGAGAAATATTCCGAAATTTGCGGGGGGACATTGTGCGAAACCACCACCCGGGGGCTCCCGTGTAGCTCCCTTTTGGGTCCACAAAACGTGTGACGGGTGCGCCGAAATTGGCCGCGGGACTCTATACAACACCACCCTCTGGGGCTTCGGAGGAGCTCCCTGTTGGGTGAAGAAACGTGCATGTGCGCCAAAGTGGGCGGGGTGATGCCATACAGCATCATCCCCTGAGGGCTTCGGTGGAGCTCCCTATGAGGCAGCGAAACGTGAGAGATATACAGACATGAACTGGGAGACGCTATGCGGCAACACCCATGGAGGGCTTGAGTACAACTCCCCGTGGGACTGCGGAACGTGTGAGGGTGTACCGCCGTTGGCAGGGGGACGTCATGTGGCCTTGCCCGCTGGGGCCTTCCGTGGAGCTCCCCATGGGGCCACGACGCGTGTGAGGGGTTTGCCGAAACGAACATGCTGAAGGCAAAGGGCCGAGAGTGAGTGAGCTGACGCGGGGTGCTGCCGAGGCGAAGCGAGGACCCAACACCACAATATGGTTGGGGGAAACAACAAGCTCTATGCACTTGACCGTTTACAAGCAGGTCTTGCTGCCGCGAAGAGCTAGACGTCCCCCAAGCCAGCCTTCGTCAACAGTATTCCTTCGCATGACAGTGATAAACCATGCCCCCCCATCGCTCGAATCTCACGCAAAATACTGAGAGAACACTTTCCATCTATGCCCACGCAACCGTATGTCAGAAAACACGTGCTTGGTCTCAGCACCGAGCTGCACCTCCCTCTCTCACCGCTGCCCCAATGGATCGGAGGGGGCTCCCCCCATCCACACCCTCTCGGCTCGGAACGGTCAATTCACCAACCTGCGTGCCACCTTTTTTGCTCTGCGTCTCTCGGCCCTCGCATGCCATCAACATCATGCCCCAATACATGCCATCATTCGCAAAGCTGAGAGGACAACTGGGTTTGTGAGGAGCATGTGAGAAGGCGACACACGTCAACAAGAAAATGTCAACTATACATCATCGTAACTGAGGTCATGGTCGGTGGACATTTGGCAAGTGCGTACCGCCAATTGTTGTGTTGCCGTCGCCGTCGCTTGTGCGCGTGGCCCCGACTTTGTCATGATCAATGCTGGCCGAATGCAACAACAACACTGCTCCTACCCGTGCAAAAATGCCACATAACCTTTATAACATCGTCGGCTACCGTCTGACATGACTCCCGATGATGGCTTCTTCGAAGATCCCCCCCGCAGGCCAAGAATAGCACAAGCTCTGGGCAGGCGTTTCTGACAGCCTCTTGGAGCAGTGTCCTGGGCTCAGGACGCAGGCGATGCTGGCTGGAAGATGCTTGCGAGGAAGCACGACGAGACGGGAGGCGAGATGCACGCGAGAGGGGTGGAGGGAGGGAAGGAGCGAAGCAGATGGGATGGCATGGGCCACGCGGAGAACGAATCGCCAAATGCTATGAAAAAGATGTGGCACAATACGTCAAACTGCTAGGCTGTCTTTGCAGAAAGGCGGAAAAGCGCGCCCCCCTTGCAAAAACAGAGAACTGCCTCCCTCCCTGCTTCTGATTCCCTTCCTCCTCCTCCGTTCCAATGCACACGGTCAGGAACTTTGGGCGTGTCGCGGCGGCCCTGGCGACACGCTATGCCTTGCAAGCGGATGGCGCGTCCTTCTGCTCGGCGGGCAGGGAGGCTGCGGAAGGCTCGAGACGCTAACGTTCGGGGACTTGGACGTGGTCAGCGTGTCGCGCCGAAGCGCGGTGGGCCAAAACCAGCGGCGCGACGCGCTAAGCAAGTGTTCCTGGCCGTAGCTGTCCACCTGTCCCCCTCGCAGGTAATGCCGCACAGAAGGCAACCGATCGGGGTCGACCTAGGCTGGGCGAAGGAGGGGACGTCTTCCTCGGGAAGGTGCAGCCGAATCGACCGACGCCGCGCGCAGACGTCGGCACGCATCACCGAATCGATCGAATCGTGGAAATGCACCGCCTGCCCTGAACCAGTTCCTGATCCTCGAGGAGCCAGAGACGGCATAAGCATTAACTTTCGCAGGTCCGCGTAGATTTCTTAGATTAGCGCTGACCCCCCTGGCGGCGCCACCGGCGTCGACCCTGGCGCGCTCCGCGCGCCAAGAATAGGGTCCAGCGCAAATCTGAAGAATCTGCGCGGACCTTCGAAAATTGACCCCCCACCCGACAGGTTGAGGACGTTAGATGTAAATCGGGGAGACGCAAAACTCGGGTACGGGGGACTCGGGTTGGCCCGACGGTGCCATCATGGAAATGACGAGGCCCAATCTGAAATTTGACGCGAGCTCCCGCTGCAAACATCCCACGAAAACTGGACCGTCAAAATCCAGGACGCGCTCGTCAAGAAAACGTCGGCAAACCTGAGTTCCGGCTTACTCGGGTCTTGCGTTCCCCCGAGTAAAGAATAGAGCTCCCGACCCACCTCGCACACCCGGCATACCGCGGCCGCAAAGCCCCAAAGCCCTGGGTGTCCGCCTCGCGTCTTCGACAAATGATCACTGCATACCGCGTCGGTTCAGCGGGCCCCGTGCTCCCAGGGGATCCAGCCTCCTGTTCTCGAGTGGGGATCGCTCGAAGCAAAATCCGCCGTCCCCCGCTTGCCGCGGGTGAAAAGGCGTGCGATATGCCTGGATGTCCCCCATCCCCTTTCCCCTGCCCCAACGTCCAAAATCGCGTTTGAGGGTGTGGGTGGGTAGACGGGGGGGGGGTACTACTTTTACAAGCATCCCTGGGGACTCCAGAGCCTCCAAATCTAGAGTCCGTGGCCTCCACCAAGATTTCATCCAAGCTTGCTCAAGCTGGGCTCAAAAACGCTGAAGCGGCCTCCCTTGATAGCGTCAAGGCAGGCCAAGCAGCCTCCAAGACGCCCCAAGAGGGCTCCAAAAGGATCTCCAAGAAGGTCTCAGGAAGCAAGCATCATTCCAATCGGGAAGAAAAACGTTAATATGTCGCACGGTCGCCTCTTTAGTCTTGATAGCGTCCAGGACGGCGCAAGTGGACCCCGATATTGAGCCTAAAACGGCCCCAAAGCCTGCAAGACGGCCTCAAGACCTCTCCGCTCCAAGAGGACCCCCGAGACCGCCAGCAGGCGCCTAGGAAACCCACAGGAGGCTTCCACCAGGCCCAAAAGAAGCCTTTAGACGCCCCCAAAGAACCCCAATGGGCCATATCCACCCTGACACACCGCCCGGCTCCGAGGGCCCCAAGAGACCCCCTCCAGCCCCGTGAAGGCCGCAACAAACCCGAGAGATCGTTTCTGTTTGACGTCCACTGCTTAGAACCCTCCTGCACGGACGGCCCCCTCTCATCCAGCTATCCATCCTGGAACCAATCAGGCAGCAGAATTTGGGGCCCCAGCGCGCACGGCAGCCTAAATTCCTCCGCAGCCCGATCGTTTCAAGAGCGACTGCCAGAATGGCGTGAAGCTGTGATCTCTATCTAGGCCCGAGCATTACCCGTACCGTCGCATGTACCCGGGCCTTACTTTGCAAGCCGACGCCTTGTCCGACGGAAGGATCTCTGGGACGGACAAGGCGGCGGCCCACCTTGAATCAGGTCCCTCCTATCGCGGAGGAAAGGGAATGACTGGGCCGATCGGGCCGCAAAGTTGGGGGCCAACCTTCACCCCGATGGCTCCGAGAAGGGCCACAGGCGGGTCGCTCACCTCGTGACTGTCTCCAGAGCTGCGGTGAAGTTGGCCGCTCGCGTGATGCCGCTCTGGCCTCGCACTGCCTTGGACGGAGTCCAGCTGGTGCCGAGGCCGAGGGAAGGCAAAGAGCAGCTCCCTGGCCACGGGTGGGCCCTCGTCGGCTGCCCTCCCAAAATTTTTGCTGGCAGTTGATCCACTGCCTCAGAGGGTCGCGCGCGCTCCCTGAGGCAGCCTCCAGCTGGCAGGTGCTTGGAGGCCTGGAAATTGGCACCAACATCAACACGGGGGGGTACCTCCAGCTGGGGAAGATGAACCCAGATGTTGGTGTTGGTGGTAATCTGTCGGCCACCTAGGAAGCCCGAATAGTACCACCATCACCGTGATCGGAAATCGCCATCCCTCGGTGGAAGCACACCATCGATATTGGTGCTGGTGTCAACCTCCAGGCCTGCGAGGTGCACACGCCACCTCAAGGTCAGACTTCTATCTCCAAGAGAGCTGGCCCACCGCTGCGTGCTCATTGATTGCAGCGCCGCATCGTTCGTGTGCACTTGCCAGCGGTGCGGCTGCTGCACATCAGGCGAGCGGCTTGCCAAGCTGGGCAAGAAGTGCGAACCTCTCGCCGTGCTGCGTGTTCATCGATTGCAGCGCCGCATCGTTCGTATGCACTTGCCAGCGATGCGGCTGCCACACCTCAGGTGAGCGGCCTGCCAAGCTGGGCAAGAAGTGCGAGCCCCTCACCGTGCCGCACGAAGAGTGCGAAACTGGCGATAGCTCGGCAAAACGCTCAACCGATCAGGAAAAGGGTCACAATCGAGCTGTCCACTTTTGCCCACTCTGCCTGGGCCTTTGATCAGGCTGTGTTCCGCGAAGGGCGCGAGCTCTCTCTCTTTCGGAGGTTGGCGGACTGGCGTAATCCTCTAGAATGCTACTGTGGCGTTCTCCTCGTTCTGATCCCACAACGTGGCCCACAGAGCACCAATCTGGTATCACTGTCGCCGATCTGAATACCGCGTCGGGCTCCAGCTGCTGAAGTGCCCCCCCCTCCCCAGACACAGAAAAAAAACGCCACCTTCCTCTTCGTCTTCGTCATACTCAGCACCGTCACCATCATAATCACCACCGCCATCATCATCACCATCATCATCATCATCATCCTCCTCATCATCCTCATCATCATCATCATCACCCTCAGCACCATCATCATCATCATCAGCACCATCATCATCAAACTCATCGCCATCAACATCATCAGCATCATCACCACCATGACCGTCGCCAGAACCATCACCATAACCATAACCGTCGTCACCATCACCGTCATCGTAACCATCACCATCATCGTCATCGTCATCGTCATCGTCATCATCATCATCATCCTCATCCTCATCATCAGCATCATCATCATCATCACCATAGTCATAATCATAGTCATCACCATCATCAGCATCACCATCACCACCAACGTCATCAGATTCATTACCATGCTCATCACCAACATCATCATCATCAATACCATCGTATGTGTGATGATAAAAACCGTCATTACCATCATCATCCCGATCACCATCATCAGCACCAACATCAGCATCATCATCACCACCATCATCAGCATAGCCATCATCATCATCAGCAGCATCATCATTCTGATCAGCGTCATCATCATCGTCATCATCATCATGCTCGTCCACTTCACTTCACTTCATTATCATCATCCACATCATAAGTAGCATCATTACATCAACGTCGTCCCATTCGTCACTATCGCCACCACAATCACAATTACCATCATCATCCTCGTCGCCACCGTCGTCGATGTCCTCCTCTTCCGTTGCCGCAGCTGCTGCTTTCACCGCTCCTGCCACTGACCCTGCCCCACTTCCTCACGCTCTGCTCGTTTCTGCAGGCAACGACTCGCCGCGATCTACTCGAAAGGCAACTGCTCGCATGTCGAGTGGAACCTCCCGTGGGGGACGTCTCCTGCCCTTGTCCGCTTGCGGATAACCGCCTTGCGGGTTGTGGAGCGTGCTCGCCAACGGAGGCACCATACCACCGAAGACTCGATGTTTTCGTGTCGCTGGCCCCTGGAACTTACGCACCCTTCTCAAGAACAGGCCTTCCATGCCAACAATGTGCAGAAAGCACCTGTGCAGCAACACCGTGTCCTTGCCAGGGCCATCCTGGAACCTGGCATGGCGTGCACGCCATGCACCCCAAGCACTGTGGTGGCGTATAGGTGCCTCCTGCGGAGATCAGTTTTTTGTTGGCGGCCCCTGGGCCGACAAGTGGCCAACTCGGGCGCGAGAAGCCTGCGGCGGATGGCCGATCTCCCCCCTGTACTGGCGTCCTGCCGCGAGAGTTAGGTGTGTCGGGGTCGGCCTTGGCCCTCATCAGCACCTCCACAGCGGCGACATTGCGCCTGCCCCGCACACCCTTTGGTCGGCTACGCCGGCTCAGCAATCATCGAATCGGAAAGGCGTATCGGATCGAGATGTGCATCGGATCGGGCTGCATCGGCACGTCATCGAAATCGAATCAGGTCCGCCAAGACCCGCAACATCCCCATGCAAACATCCATGCAAACATCGGGCCATATCGGATCATCTGAATATCGGAATCGAATCAGGTCGGGCCATCTGGAATCGGCATCGAATCGGATCAGTCGGATCGACATGATTCCTGCAATGGCAAATTCGTGTCGTGACGACCTGCACGTTGATCCCTGACACCGCGTGGAATGTGCAACCTTGAACGATCGCGGCCTTCCGATGGCGATATCTCGATGTCGGCCGAGTCCGGGCCACCTGCGGCGTCCATCGACCCGGGTCAATCCAGACCCGGACCAGTCAGGCTCTGCAGGACCCTGCACGCAAGCCAGGGTCAGTGCACCCCTGGCTCTGCAGGATCCTGCAAGATCAGGCGCTCTGGCTGACCCCCGGCTGCATTGACCCCGGTCCCTTGAGCCCCGAGTCCAGCCCTGCACGCCCGCGCTGGGGTCGCCGACGCGTCGACACGACGCGAGTCCTCCGTACGGCACGAACGGGGCTAAGCGTCCCCAGGCAAACGGATGCAGATCTCTAACGTGCTGAGATGTCAGGCGGGTTGCGCCCGCTGCGCCCGCGCCAGGGTCGCCGCCGTGTCGACACGACACGAATCGTCCGTCTAGCACGAGTGGGGCTGGGCGTCCCCAGGCAAACGGATGCAGATCTCCGGGCGTCCTCAGATGTCAGGCTGGCTGGTGCTTCTGAGCGTGTGCCTCAAGAGAGCCAAGAAGGCCCGAGAACAAAAAAAACACGGGTGGCTTCTTGCCATCGCTCAGACGTCCATTCCTCGTGCATTTTTAGATTTCGTGCATAATTTGTCCCACGATGATCCAGGATGGTCCTCAGTAGTCCCCGCCGAGTTAAATTCACACGTCCGAGCGATGCCAAGGCCTCCAAGAGAGCGATACCCCCTGGAAGCCCCCAAGCGCCACGAGGAAATGTTTGGGCCTCCTCGGACGTCTTGGGCTGCTTATTGTGGGAGCCACTGAGGTGCCTGCTGCTCACCTTGATCCTCTTCCTCGTCCCCCCTCGTACCAAGGAGCCAGCCAGAGGCATCTCAAATCATACCCTCGCCGGCGCGGATTGGAACCAAGCCCCCTCGTCAAACGAGGCCCCCTCCGCATCCCGCAGGCACCATACGAAAGCTTCAGCCCCAAACCAACAGCACGGCTGTGCGCTCCTGCGTACGTCAAACCAGCGGGACCGCTGTGCCCCGCGGCAGCGGGCCCCGGGCCAACCCCACCGCCCCACCGCCCGGTGCAACACGAGGCCGAGCGTCCCCATCTCCCAGCCAGGCTCCGCCGCCGGGCCTACCCCCCAAGAGGGCCAGGAGGAGAAAGATGATGACATCAACGCAGCGACGTCTGCTCGCCCCATGAGGCCAGCACGCCACGCATGCGACTGGAAACGGACTCGCGCGGCGCCCAATCACCCTGACAAGACCCGACCAGAACCGAGCAGACCAAGCCAGTCCAGAACAACACCGTCGGCAATGAGCAAACAGTGCAGGAGTCGACGCAACCGCTCTGGGGGTTGGCAGCACTTTCCGTCGCCACCGTCGCAGCAGCCGTTGCATACGCCGTCGTGGCTTATGCAATAGTCATACACTAGAAGTCGTCGCCCTCCGTCGGCTCTGGCGCTCTGGTCTCTTTTTCGGGTCTGGCGAATGAGGTCGGTGACAGCGGCTCCGGCGTAGGACTGCTGGTTGGGCTTGGCGTCGGACTGCTCGTCAGGCTGTGGCGTGCGTGCTGAAATTGGACTGCTGGTCGGGCTGTGCGCCAGACTGCTTGTCGTGCTGGGCGTCAGAGCTGCAGTCAGTGGCTTGGTTGTTATTGTTCTGGTGGTCCTGGTACGCGCTGTCAAAATCATTGCCATCGTAACTGTCACAGCTGTGGTTGTCCTAGCGGTGGAAGTGGATGCCGTAGTCGACAAACGTAGTAGTAGCATTCGTGCAGTAGCTAGCTGCGATTGCTGGTCGCCTGTCAGACTGTGCCTTCGCCGCGCGTGGAACACGCCCCGCCGTCACCAGCTTTGCCCTCCAAGCAACCATTGCACTCCCCATTGCCATGCTGGCTGGCGACTATTTGACTCCCGCGGCTTCTCCAGAGGCCTGGGGAATTCAATTGGGAAACCAAGCCTCCAACATTCTAGCAAACCCCAAGATGGTCACACGGGTCCGTGCTGGCGTCGCCTTGGGGGTCGCTTTGACCGTCTTGGAGGCCCTCGAAGCTGGCTCAAAATACCCGAACCGTTCCAGACCCGACTATTCCGTGTGATTTCAAATCCTCGCCACTTCTGTCCTGAGATCGTGCAAGACGGCCGAAGAAGCCTCCAAGATCGCCTCACGACGGCCCAAAAGGCTCCCATCACAGATCCGAGAGGCCTCCAAGACGGCTCGAAGAACTGCCAAACAAACGCTCCGCAGCCAGACCACTGAAAGCTTCACCTCCAACATGGACACAGGGTCCTTCAGAGCCATCCAAGTGACCCTCTGAAAACTTCCCAAGAAGCCCCAGAGACTTGCCAATACTTCCTAGTGGGCCTTCAAGAACTCTGGTTCATGACCCAGACACGCTGGCGGTTTGGGCCGAAGGCCACTGGACACCAGCAAGATCGGCGTGTACACCCAGACCACATTATCATGATCATGCTGTGTCTGTACACTCTTAGGCCAGATTGACCGCGTGTCGAAGTCTTGCTGTCACGATATTTCAAATAGCGAAGCCCAAACATGCGCCAGCAGACACACACACACACATGTTCGAACGCCACTGCTGGCACCCTACTTTGCACCGTGTCTTTCTGTGACGCAATGTTGCAATACCCATCATGAGCAAACATGGCTACCGAAGACGAGGACCCAGAAGGGGTTGGTGCAAGAAAAGGGAGGGTAAGGAGTAGATCAGGCTTTCCGGCTGTTTGCATGGAGCTCAGCGGCATATACATGGGCTCTTGAGCCACTGGCTATCATGTTGACCAAAGGCCACACGAAATGGCGCGACGCGCAGAAAACATGCGTGAAGTGCGCCCGAGGCACTGCACGGCCGAACACCACCACCCCGTTGGCCCGCATCACTGCGTTCCTTTCTTACCCCAAGCACCGTGATGCAGCGTAGTGCAAGTACGTCAGTCGGACCGTGTCGACCCCGCCCTCAGGCGCGAGACTCGCAACCCGAAGTAGCAGGCGCATGCGCGAGAGCGTAGATGAGGCAGCGTCGTGAGACTCAATGCCAAGATCCTGTCCAAATCCGTCCCAAGTGCCAAGTCGCCGTCATCGAACTATCCTACCTCACCAGCAAATGACGTAGCACTGATGACGGCTTCTTGCGCACGGAAACCATAAGGCCGACGGGCTGAAGAAGAGGAGGTGGCGATTCGCACACTCACGACATGATCAACCAATGCAAACAAGTATCACAACCTCCATCAAATCCGCTCCAAACATACTGCATATACTAACCCTTGTTCTAACGCGCGGAAGAATTAGAACGGCCCCTACTAAGCTTGCACAACGTATGGTTATAGCACCTTCCGTAGATATGAAGAGCGCATGGTGGGCGAAACGCCGTGAGTAGCTACAACGAGACTGATTGTCTGTCTACCAACCTTGGGAATGCCAATATGAACGGGACAAGGTAGCATGAAGATATACTGGCGGCGCGCGAACACAGTTGCATGTGATTCGAGACACCTACAATCTATGAAAAAGATCACGCACGCTTCAAAATGTAGGTTTCATACATGCACTTGCGTATGATCAGGAGGGGGGCGTCGCCTTTGAGCACATGAGGCCAACACCTGGTAAATGATTGAAGACCCATCCCTTGTGGTCGGCGAGTTTCAAGAACAAGACGCCAACGTCTGTTCGAAGCGTGCCCGTCACCCTGGGCAAAGACACACATGAAACAATCAACACATGACTTCTGCACATTGCGAACACATGTCGCTACTGATGCACTGTTTTCGCACACTGCGTGCACGACGGCTGAAGAAAGAATGGGTGGCAAGCCGTGAATAGCCCGATGATGGAGCACCGAGCTATACAACTGACGCTCGTGGCAACTTGGCGCTCGTGCGAACTCCCTGTCTCTGCCTTGCTGCCAACATGGGGGCGAATTTTCAGGAACGAATCGTGTCGACACATGCGTGGGGCTCATGTGCCGACGCTGAAAATTTAGATCCTTTATGCCTGGACATGGAATGCCGATGGCAAAACTGTCCGGTCTTCTTAAGCTGCCGTCGCGCATGCCGTTTTTTACTTACGGGCATCTTCAACCCCTCAGTCTAACTTTTTTTGTTCTAGCAAGGAGGCTGGCAACAATGTGGGCACGTCGCGACCTCTATGATTTATGGCTCGCATGTGCATTGGCCGATGCGACCTGTAGAGCAGCAGATCAGAGTTGCACAAGAGCAGCTCTCTCTCTCTCTCTCACTCTCTCTAGCTGTGCTAATACAAGAAAACCAAACTTTACTTATATATACGTGTATATGTATACGTATTTATATATATATATATACTAGAACCACGCGCGCGCTTCGCGCGCGCTTAGGTTCTAGCTAGGAGGCGAGCCTGAGTCAACGAAAGTCGCAGGGAAGGGGGCAGGGGGAAGAAGGCCAGAGAGCGCTGAAGGATACAAATACTGGAACCCTCTTGTGATTTTGTGGGGGGCCTCGTCTGGCCGCTCGCTGGGAGTTTGACGTAGCTTCTCGGGAGCCTCTGAACCTGTCGGGGGCCTCCTGGAAGCAGGTTCGAAGCATTTTTGGGGCCGATTTGGGGCTTCTCGGGGCCTCCTTTGGGCCTCTTGGGGGTCTCCTGGGGCCTCTTGAGGGGCCTCCTTGGGGCCTCCTGGCGGCCTCTTGGGGCGGAAGGCTCGAGCTTGCGGTTCGTGGTCCCCCTCTGGGCCCCCTCTTGGGCCCGTCTTGGGGCCCTCTTGGGCCATCTTGGGCGCCTCTTGGGCCGTCTTGGGGCCCTCTTGGGCTGTCCTGGGGCCCTCTTGGAAGCTTCTTGGGCCGTCTTGGGGCGGTCTTGGAGGCCTCTTGGGCCGTCTTGGACGCGGTAAAGCCCAAGATGCGAACATGCGAAAAATATATGTTTTCCCATAGGAATGGCACGATTGTTGTTTCTTGGACCTCTCTGGGGTGCCTCTCGGAACGTCTTGGGCTGATTTTGGAAGCCTTTTGGCGCCTCTGGGCGGCGTTTTGGCGCCTCCTGGGATATGTTGGGCCGGAAGCTCGGAATTCGAGAGTGGCTTTCTCCTTCTGGGACCCCTCTCGAAGTCGTCTTGGGGTTCTCTTGGGCCGTCTTGGGGCCGTCCTGAGCCACTCGTGCGCAGCCTTGGAGCGCTCCCGGAGGCCTCCTAGGCCGTCTTGGAGGCCTCTTGGGCCGTCTTGGACGCGGTGAAAGCCCAAGATGCGAACATGCGAAAAGTATACGTTTTCCCATGGGAATGGCACGATTGTTGTTTCTTGGACCTCTCTTGGGGTGCCTCTCGGAACGTCTTGGGGTGCTTTTGGGAGCCTTTTGGCGCCTCTTGGCGGCATTTTGGCGCCTCCTGGAGACTCTTGGGCCGGAAGCTCGGAATTCGAGGTTGGCTTTCTCCGTCTGGGACCCCTCTCGAACTCGTCTTGGGGCTCTCTTCGGCCGTCTTGGGGCCGTCCTGGGCCACTCGTGCGCAGCCTTGGAGCGCTCCCGGAGGCCTCGTAGACCGTCTTGGGCGCCTCTTGGGCCGTCTTGGACGCGGTGAAAGCCCAAGAGGCGAACATGCGAAAAACATATGTTTTCCCATAGGAATGGCACGATTGTTGTTTCTTGGACCTCTCTTGGGGTGCCTCTCGGAACGTCTTGGGGTGCTTTTGGGAGCCTTTTGGCGCCTCTTGGCGGCATTTTGGCGCCTCCTGGAGCCTCTTGGGCCGGAAGCTCGGAATTCGAGGTTGGCTTTCTCCGTCTGGGACCCCTCTCGAACTCGTCTTGGGGCTCTCTTCGGCCGTCTTGGGGCCGTCCTGGGCCACTCGTGCGCAGCCTTGGAGCGCTCCCGGAGGCCTCGTAGACCGTCTTGGGCGCCTCTTGGGCCGTCTTGGACGCGGTGAAAGCCCAAGAGGCGAACATGCGAAAAATATACGTTTTCCCATGGAATGGCACGATTTTTGTTTCTTGGACCTCTCTTGGGGTGCCTCTCGGAACGTCTTGGGGTGCTTTTGGGAGCCTTTTGGCGCCTCTTGGCGGCATTTTGGCGCCTCCTGGAGCCTCTTGGGCCGGAAGCTCGGAATTCGAGGTTGGCTCTCTCCGTCTGGGACCCCTCTCGAACTCGTCTTGGGGCTCTCTTCGGCCGTCTTGGGGCCGTCCTGGGCCACTCGTGCGCAGCCTTGGAGCGCTCCCGGAGGCCTCGTAGACCGTCTTGGGCGCCTCTTGGGCCGTCTTGGACGCGGTGAAAGCCCAAGAGGCGAACATGCGAAAAATATACGTTTTCCCATGAGAATATCACGATTTTGGCTTCTTGGGCCTCTCTTGGGCTGCCTCTCGGAGCGTCTTGGAGGCTTCTGGGACCTTCTTGGTGTCATGACAGGCGTCTTGGAAGGCATCTGGAGCCATCGGAGCGCGTTCCGAAGCCGCCTGCGAACGATCTTGGACGGCGTCCGGCGGTCCGACGAGCCTCCGGGCCCCCCGGAGCCCACATTTGTGGTCGGGGTCCCGGCCCCGGGCCCCCGGACCCGGTGCGCCGTTATATGTGTGTATACATCTCTCTCTCTCTCTCTCTCTCTCTCTCTCTCTCTCTCTCTATATATATATATATATATATATATAACGGATCCGGCCAGATCTGGGTCCCGCTGGGGGCCGCTTGGTCCGGAGCGCGCCTGGAGGGCCCAAGACGGCAGCTGATGGCTTCCAGAGGGCCCCAAGCTGGGCCAGGAGTGCTACAAGACGCCCACGGTGGCCCCAAGGGAGTCCCAGAGGCTCCCCTTTCGCCCCAAGACATCCCAAGAGGCCTCCCGAGGGAGCCCCCAACGCCAAAATCGTTTGTCGCCTTCCCGACGCTCCAAGACGCCCCCCAGATCGCCCCAAGAGGCACTCAGGAGGCCCCCGCGACGCCCAAGAGGGCCCAAAGACGGCCCAAGAGGCGCCCAAGACAGACGGCCCAGGAGGACCCCAAAACGGCTCCCGAGAGGCACCAAGGACCCCCAACAGGCCCCAGCTCCCCAAAAGGCCCCCCAAAAAGCCCAAGGGACGCCCAAACAGCCCCCGTAAGAGGGGTCAAAACAGCTCCCAGAAAGCACCCTGCAAGCCACTTGGGCCCCCTGGAGTAGTACGGCGGGCGACGGTCAGATAAAATATGTATATATATATACATATACATATACACAGATATGTGTGTACATATACATATATATATATATATATATATATGTATATCTGTATATATATATATATATATGGAAGTCGAGGTGTGACCTGTAGAGCAGGCACAAGACTGAAGCCATAGAGCGGGACATGGAAATATGTGCCACTCGAACTGCAAAAACTGCAAAAACTGATCCGTGGTACCTGACGCCTGTTTGACTACTCCATATATCCGAACTCAAATGTTCGATTACGTGTCCAAGCCAACCCGGCACGGTACACATTTATCGGCCGTGTTGTCGTCGCAATCCTACACTTCGGACGCGCGCGTGCACCACGCATGCATGTTATCCTTGTCTGGGACATGCGCGTACGAATGGCATATATATAGATGTATACATAGCCGCCGATGTCAGACATAAACACATGCGCGCACATACGCATGCATACACATACATAGACATGTACACACATCAATCACATAAATATCCCGGACCACTTCCAAAACCATAATCATTGCTTTCATGTATATGTGATGGTCTTGCCCGGAAAGGCCCTCTGGAAACCCTGCCCTGGGGACCCCCCCCCGACAATTTCTAGCCTCAAACCTACCAGTTCCTGGCTTGAAACGTACCGATACCCCCCACCATGCCCTGGCCCCCCCGCCCGCTGGTTTACTGATTCTTGGGACCCCCCACCCGACAATTTCTGGCCTGAAACCTACGATACTTCCCCACAACGCCCAGGCACCCCCGCACACTGGCCCACTGATTCTGAAGACCCCCCACCCGACAATTTCTGGTCTGAAACCTACCGATACCCCCCACCATGCCCCGGCAACCCCCGCACCCCTGGTCCACTGATTTTTAACATCCACTACCCGCCTATTTCTGGCCTGAATCTTACCGATACCCCTCCCCAAATGCCCCAGCATTTCCGCCCCCTGGTTCACCCACCATGCTCCGACAATTTCTGGTCTGAAACCTACCGATACCCCCCAATGCCCCCGCACTTCCGTCCCCTCGCCCATTGATTCTTCGGACCCCCCACCCGACAATTTCTGGCCTGCAGCCCAACGATATGCCCCACCATGCCCCAGCACCTCTGCCCCCTGGTCCAATGATTCATGGGACCCCCCACGCGAAAATTCCTGGCCTGAAACCTACCAATGCCCCCCACTATGCCCGGGAACCCCCGCACCCTGGTCCAGATGGGCCCCCCCACTCGACAACTTCTGGCCTGAAACTGACCGATGGACTCTCCACTAAGCAATATCCCGCTTGAAATCAACCGATACCCTCCACCATGCCCCGGCACCCCCGCCCCCTGGCCCACTGATTCTCGGGCCCCCCACCCGACAATTTCTGGCCCGAAACCTACCGATGCCCCCCACCATGCCCGGGCACACCCGCACCCTGGTCCACGGAGTCCTGGGATCCCCCACCCGACCATGTCTTGCCTGACACCTACCGATATCCCCCACCATGCCCCGCCAAACCTCCCCCTGGCCCACTGATTCTTCGGCTCCCCACCATGCCCCAGCAC